ACTTTAACATTGAAACCTATGGCGTTTGTATCACTTAAGTCTTTTTAATTATTAAATGTGATACGTTGCACAGTGATGAGATTATGAAAGCCACAGTTTTTTCCAAATAGGATTTAATATATCTCATTAAAACACTTTTTACTGCATTTCGCGCATTTTTTTCACGCGTAATTCTTGTACAAACATCTTTACATTGTTAAGAACTCTAAGCACAAAATTTATGAACTTAATTTTGCGTAAAAATAAAGTAAAATTAAATCAGATTGATAGTACGTGATACTTTGAAATAAATAAGGTAAAATTAAACAAGATCTAACAGTTTTTTTTTTATTATATTTATTTTTTATTTATTTATTTTTTATTATTTTATTTAATGAACATTTTCAGGCAATGATTTCCAAACTATAATAACATTACAAAACGATCATATTTATTTGATTATATGATCATTAAATTATTAACATTAAAGTGGATTAGTTTTTTAATAATTCATAAATTCAGAACATAAAATTTTCGAGCGTATGAAGGAGGGAAAAAAAAAAATAAAAATCTAGAAGCACTCAGATTTTATATTACGCCCAAAAAGGAACCTTTTTTAAAGTTTTGTGTGTTACCTATATTTATTGAATATCATGCTTCGCCGTAAACCACATACATTTGAAAACAGCATATCTTTAGAATTTCCGCACTGGAGATAAAACTGTATTTTCCTGTACAGTGCTCGCTCTGAACTCGTGGAGTTTGTTAATCAAAATTTCGTTAAAGTTTTACAAAATATGAAATAGATTGAAACAAATTCGAAATTCGGCCGTCCAGATGCCCATGTTCGGGTGGAGGATTACATTATTCAAAATTTGATGGCTCTAGATACTGTCGTTTTTGTCACAGTGCGAGAAACATACATGTATTCATGCAGATTCTTCATTATTTAATTTCTTTACATATAATACAGGGCGATAATATTTGGTAACAACAATTTGCAAGGAGACACGGACATTTATAGTAAAACAGCGCAAAATGCCGCTTCGAAACTAACAGCCTTTCTAGGCTACCGCCTGCTTTGGGCTAATAAATTAAATTAACAGTAAATAAAAAATCTTATGCAGAACTAAAAATAAATTTAAAAAAATAATCACTATAAAATACAAGCAAAATTAATTATTACGGTTAATACAATTTTAATATTAGAATTAAATGTAAAAAATTTTAAGGAGTCAAAGTGTTTATCACTATGATGATTTATATGAAATATAATTGAAATAAAATTCCTTTATAGAAATTGTGCTATAATACTCATCTATAATTTTAAAAAAGCAGCACAATTTAGAATTTTAAAACAAAACTTTCAAAAATTCGTTTTTAAATATTTTAGTATTTTTTTACTTATTTACACCAATAAAAAGCATAAAAATTGCAAGAGAAAATTGCTTGTTTGAAATTTTCTATTAGTTCAGATTTAAAATATTATTTTCTAAAAGAAGTAGTTACAAATTTCCTTACAGCATAGGAAAAGCTAAAAAATATCCAGCCCTGAAAGCATGCAATAGCTTTATAATTATTTGGAACGTTAATTATGCTTGATAAATATGCTAAATTTTTAAAAAATCAATCTCAATTTCAAAAATAAAAATATGTAGAAATTCTAATTTGTGAAATGAGGCGCTACAACCAGTTTTTCGTGACAGTTATACACGCTGCAATAGGCAACCAATGTTAAATTTCTGCAAGTCGTCCCTACTCCTCCGGATGTGATCAAGGTGACAGCCGGCAACGCCTCAGGCGAGGGAGAAAACCCGTTTGGGTTAGTCTATTTCTTATAAGGTCCATGATATCTTGTTATTGATGGGACTCCTGCAGTTGTTAGAATATGCTGGAGCTGCCTTACACAACAAACTTAATGTTGCTATCCTCGTGCTAGACATGGCGAAAGCCTTCGACCGTATCTGGCATGAAGGACTTATTGCAAAACTTGTTGATTTCGGATTGGAAAGGGAGCTGATCTTGCTGATTTTCTCTTTCATCGCAAGCAGGACTTTTAAAGTCTTAGTCAGAGATGCTTATTCCTCTACAAGAATCATGCTTAGTGGTGTTCCACAGGGCTCAGCTTTAGGACAATCCTCTATCTCTTTTATATTTCTGATTTCCTTAATTTCTGTCAAAAGAATAGCTCTATCCTCGCATGTTACGCAGACGATACTGCCCTGGCAGTTAAGTCTGTTAACATAAATCGTGCCATTAAAAAGCTCCAAGATATCATCTCGGATATGAAACTCCAGATCCTGGAAAATTCAAATTAATGCTCAGAAATCCCAGCTTTTACTTATCAGACGCAAATAAAAATGAAAACTGCAACCTAAGAAGCACTTACTTCTTTTTAATAAGCCGTTATTAAAAAGAAGCCGGTGCTGTCGTAAACAAAGCTAAATATCTTTGAGTTATCTTAAATGGCAGCCTCACCTGGAAACACAATATTGAACATAACAAGAATAAAGTCACTAAAGTGATGAGATGACTCTTACCTATACTTGGGAAATATTCCAAGCTTAACTTGTGTAAAAAACGACTTATCTACATTTCTGTCATACGGCCTATCACGAGTTATGCCTCTCCTGCCTGGGCTGCAGCGACTGAGAAGGATATTCATATATTGCAAGAAGTACAAAACCGCTTCTTACGAACTATTACATCTACCCATAATTTACTTCACAAGGATCTTAAAATGGACACTACGGATAATTTCTCAGGACTAAAAATAGAAAATTCTTCCAGGGGGCTTACACCTGTGAAATAATGAATCACTTCAGACTGTTTCATTATGAAATCCTTAATGAAGACTTAAGACTACGTCTGATGGATTGCTCATATCAGCAGCAACTCTCAGAGCTTCGACTTCGGAGGGTCACCACCCCATCTGATATCCATATCTGTATACCGCACGCTTGTGGTTTTACTACTGGACTATGTGTACTGTATGTATTCATTATTTTCATTTCTTCTTGGGGTCTGTACCTGCATTATGAATTGTACTTTATTTAATATTATATGCTCAACAGTTATTGAAATACTTTTGATTCTTCACGCAGAGCAAATCTGACCACACAGTTAGGGAGGGTGTCTACACCACATGACTTTGAAATCTAATCTGAGGACTTTGTAAATATCTATTGTATTTAGAACATTTATTTTATTTATATTTATTATCAAGACATGATCCTGCACCCTTTTTACTAATGTATGCTATTTTGTACTCGTGAAATTTTGTAAATTTCATCTTTTATTCTGGAATCTACTCAGCTCACCTTGCTCATGTGACTTTGGTCACCCCCTTACCTCACCTATGTAGAATTTTTCAAAAGGAAAAAGACGCTTCACAAAATTAGCATACCAAATATTAAAGATTCTAATAATTAGTAACAAGAATCGGCGTTGTTAGTATTCTTAACACTCATTCCTCGGCGTGTTCTTTCTGCTATATTTCAATAATGACCAATTGAAAAAAGGATTATAGCGAAGGTATTAGCTTTCAGAAATGAATTTTTAAATCAAGAACCAAGATTTGCTTGAAATTTTGGAATTCCTGCAAAAGGGGGAATTTTTTTAGTGTTTTTATTAGTCCAAAGGGGCTTTGTCCCTGGAGGACTATTGTTTTCGTTTTGCGATTTTGCGTCGGACTCATAAACGTCGGTTCACTTTTCAAACTGTTGCAAACAAAATGTTAGAGTCCTGCATCTATTTGAAGAAATTAATAATGAAAAATCTGCAAAATGATTGTCTATTCTCGCATGTGATAAAACATGGTACATAGAGCCATCGAATTTTGAATGACGAAATCCTACTGCGAATATGGGCATCTGAAATCCCAAATTTGGAATTGTTTATTATAGATTTTATATTTGTAAAACTTTAACGAATTTTTGATTTACAAACTCAATGCTTTAAAAGCGAGAAATAGCAACGTTATATAGAAAAAAAAAAAAAAAACTTTTATCTCCAGCTCGCGAGACTGTGTATATCGAAAATTCTAAAGATTTTATTTTAAGTTCGTAAAATATTAGCTAAGTGCCTACGTTTCATGACGATGTGAAAATGGAGTGCGTAGAGTAAAATCTCGCTTTCCTATAGCCCATTATGTCTTAAAATGACGCGATTTCGTCACAAAACATAAAATTAAAAAAATCAAATTCGAATTTCGAAAAAATCGCTTCGAGATGCACCTATGTACCAAATTTTGTAGCCGTGGGTATATTAGCTTACGCGCAGCGCAAACGAAAGACACACACACACACACAGACAGACTCTTTCTTTTATTATATTTAGAGATATTTCACTTCTGTTTTCAGTTAAAATAATATATATTGTTGCCACCTATTAAAATCAAATATTTATTGTGATATGAACTGATCGCGGGCCATTAAACCGTGAAAATTACTAACAAACTATTAACATTTGAGAGAGGCATAGATAGTTCATCGATGTTATTGTAACCTTACTTATCAAAGATTATATTTCCTTTTATAAATTGTATATTTTAATAAACAGTTTGTTATTTGATGCGAATAATGAAGTTTGTAACAGTTTTCATCGATTTCGTCGAAGATGTCAGCGAATTGAAGTACTTTTCATACGTACTTAGTATAAATGTTAATGAATCTTCTCGGCATCGAAAAGTATGGTTTTTACATGGATCTCTTTATTATACTGAAAAGCGATGTGCCGTTATGATTTCGAACAGAAATGTCTTATGCCTCTTGAACTGGCAACGATTTCCTATTTCGCAGGATATGATTTTCTCTCAAATTTAAACTTCTTGAAATACCCTTGCAAGCATTAAAAAGAGTTTAATTAAAATTTACGCCATTTGTGATCGATATTTTTGTGTGAAAAGATCTTTAAAATTGAAAAAATAGTAGTCAGCAAGGAACAGCATATGGGAGAAAAGAACTATACTACCTCTCAAAGTGCAATTTAAGTAAGGTTGAAAAAATTATATAAAAAATTACCTTGCATAACAATATGAGCATATCTCAGACTGTACGTTTTTCGGAACACAAGTTACGAAAGGTTTGCCAGAATAAATTACATCTCCGGGATAGTAATAGTTTTGCCTTTCGTCTGCCATACTGACGTCCTACCTCGAGATACAAACTGCTAAAAAGGCTTGTTTCCGGAACGCAGGTGAATAAATACTTGCGATAAAGAGTTTCGGTTTAGGAAAGATAGCAAATTTTCTTTTTTGGCCTTAACTATTTTATTCAACCACTGTCAGGATTTCTGAGGTAACAATATAAGAAGCAAAGTACGAACTTTCGTAGTCAGCAAACTACATAAATGCTAAAAAATTTCATTTTGTATTGCTTTTCGTTAACGTATCTATCACAGTTTACCTGACACTTTGGTATAAAATATTTAATTTGTAAAATAACTGAAACTTACGTAGTAATATTTGCGCAGAAATATCGTATCGAATTTTTTAAATATTTAAATGTGGATTCTACGTTAAATTGAAAAAAAAAAAAAAAACACGATAAATAAACAATTTGATATAATCAATAGACAATTAAATTATCACTATTTTACTATGCACATTGAACGTTACAATTCTTCGAATTCTTGACGTTGCCAACTCCAAAAAGGAATTCTTTTGCCTTTTATCGGCAGACGTTAATTTAAATGTTTTTTTATTCTTAGCTTCCTTTTGTAGTTAAATTATTCACGCATGAAACAATTTTAAAAGACAAACAAACATTTATTTAAAGATAAATCCTACTCGTTACTTAAGAACCTACACGTAACGTATTCATAAACGTACATAACATAACAGACGTTCTTACTGCATCGTAGCAATATACATTTCAAGCGTACATCATCAGCATATAGTATTTAAAATTATAAATAGAACGACATCCAGAAATTAGCTGTTGCCATTTCTCAATAGATATTTTGTCTAATAACAATAAATAATTTACAGTCGTGCTCACATTATTCCCACATAAATATATATTAAAAAGAGAAAAAAAAATCTGAAACATTTCCGAATTCATATTACGCCAAAAGGGGCGTTTTTTTAACGTTTTGTGTGTTGCCTTTATTTATTAAATACCATGTTCTTTGCACTTAACCCTGCAATGGAGGGGCCGGCGTACAGAGTACGCCAATGCCATCTTTTGAGCTGTAATTTTTAGACAACCCCTTCTTAAGCGTCCTCCCTTCCTCTACCTCCTAGAAACATTCCATGAGTGCAATGCACCTGGTATTTCTGGTCAGTCTGGTTTTCGCTTCCTTCCGAAAGTATTGTGAACATGTCGCGTAGGCGAAAGAAATACGCCGCTCCTCCAAGTATGTACAAAAAGAATATTGTACCTCCTGAAGATTATTTGCGCGTTTTAGAAGTCTCGGTTGATGAAGACTCCGACAATTTGGATAACGCATCTGATGTCGATGAATAAGAAGTCATCGAACAATCTGATCATAAAAGTGACTCAGATGAGGGAAATGTTTCTAAATATCCTCATTTTCCTTCCTGAAATGATGTTTCCCCAACAAATGACGATTTTAGTGATATTGAAAATGACATGAGTGATTTAAAATATGAGGACTTTTTTGGAAAAACAATTTACAAAAAGAAGAAAGTTGGAAGAAAGTTTCTGAAAGAAGAAAAGGAAACTTATAAGTGGAATAAAGTTCCCCTCAAGAGCAAATTCGCCAGAACGCCTCGAAAAAATTTGATGAAAAAAATATGTCCAAGTGCCAAAACTTGTGACAATATAAATGATGAGCTTTCTGCTTTTCAGAAAATCATAAATACAAATATGATTGATGCTATCGTACAATATACAAATATTTATCTCAAATGTAACAGGACTGCAGATGATCTCCAAAACATCTCAAAGAGAAGCATGTATGATACTAATAGAGCAGAAATGTTGGCCTTTTTAGGAATTTTATTCTTATTAGGGTGCAAAAAAATGTCAAAACTCAATTTGCAGGAAGCATGGGCAAAAGACGGTACTGGAATTGAAATTTTGCAAGGAGTCATGGGCCTCAAGCGATTCAGAAACCTGTGTGCTGCTATTAGATTCGATGATAAAGGCACAAGGTATGTGCGAAGAAAAACTGATAAGCTTGCTGCACTAGAAGAATTTTTTGAATCTTTCAATCAGAACTGTCAAAACTTTTATACACCAGGTGACGAACTCACAATCGACGAGAAGTTGGGACCCTTTCGCGCGAGGTGCTTTCTATTCAATTCATCCCCAACAAGCCCGCAAAGTATGGTCTGAAAAGTTTTGCAGTTGTTGACTCACGAACGTTTTATACATTGAAGCTTGAAATTTACTGTGGCAATCAACCCCCAGGACCTTATGAGGCTTCTAATTCAAGTATTGACATTGTCAAAAGGCTAATTGGTGCGTATGAAGGTTTCAACCGTAACCTGACGACCGATAATTGGTATACAAGCTACCCGCTAGCTCAGTATCTTCTTACCAAAGGTATAACACTTGTGGGCACGCTGAAAAAAAAATAAAAAGGAAATTCCAAATGAATTCCAGCCATCAAAAACCAAAGAAGTCGGCAGTTTACTGTTTGGTTTTCAAAAGGATATGACAATTGTTTCATATGCAACGAAAAAAAATAAGTGTGTAATACTGCTCAGTACTTTACACGATGATGGCAAAATTGACCAGGAAACGAATAAACCTCAAATAATCCTCGATTATAACAAATGTAAAGGCGGAGTTGATACCGTAGATCAACTCTGTAGTAATTTCACTGTTGCCCGAAAAACCAAGAGGTGGACAATGGCAATATTTTTTGCACTGCTAAACGTAGCGGCCCTAAATTCGCAAGTGCTCTTGAACTTCTCCAAACCTGATGCAACCATCAAGTTTAGAAGATATTTCTTGCCATTTGGAGAAAATGCCATTTCTCCTGTCGCATTCCAAAGCTATTATTAGAAGGCTGGTAACAACAGAAGCGGACAAGACGGTTGAAAGGGACGAGGAACCATCTGCAAAAAAGATCAAAGGACGCTGCGCTGAGTGCGGTAGAATGAAGAATAACTACACTACCATAAAATATTCTGAGTGTTCTAAGTTTACCTGCAAAAATCATCTGGGTAAGACAGTACAACTTTGCAAACCCTGCTGCAGTGAACAGAGGCAATCGGAAGAGGATTAAAAGAGCAAAAGGTTTTTCAAATTTCTCATTTGTGAAACTTACCGAACTTTTCTTTTCGGAATATTTATAATTTGCAATTTTGATTTATGTTCTTATAATTTTCATACAGAAAATAATGCAGAATACTATTTACCTTTAAATTACATTTCCACTGCATCCACTTTTTGAATTAATTAAAAATTCGTAGTTTCCATGTTTACTGCTTTTTTTCTGTTATTCTTTTTCTTATATCATTTTTACTATGACGAATCGCCTTATTAATACCATGTATAAGATTAAAAAGTTCAAACACGAAGCAGAGGCGAAAAATGACCTGGCGTACTTCATACGCCGCCCCTCTAAGATTGTACCATACGCCAGCCCCTCCAACTGAGGGTTAAACAATAAAATTCAATTCAACAGCAATATCACAAAAAGAGAAACCTCGCGCATAAAATATCCGAGCTTGGAAGATGCACGCGATGTTAAAGTTAATGGAAAGCTTTGAAATCGTTGAGTTTGCTAATCGAAAATCCGTTAAAATTTTACAAAATATGCATTAAATAATAAAACAAATTCCAAATTTGAGCTTTCAGATGCCCATATTCGAGTGGAGGACTCCGTTATTCAAAATCTGATGTCTCTAGGTGACGTTTGTTTTTCACAGAGCTAAATATTGTTTTAATAGGAAGAGAGGCAGAAGCTAAAGTGCGCAGTTATTAAGAAGGGGCACTCACCCAGAGAAAGTTTTGCTTTAGGTTGCTTATTAAAAGAAAAGTTTCAGTGCTCAAAATTTTGAGTTCGGTTCCAAATTAGCTATGTTATCAACGTTACGTAAGCCATGTGACACAGAATGACCTGGAAATCACGCTGTCCAGAAACGTTATTACTGTTTTCAAAATACAGAAAGGAAATACCCAAATTAAAATTAAGGAATTAAGAGGCTATTGTTAAATTAAATTTGAAACTGGTTTACATATTTTTTATCTAACATATATGTGATGTATCAGCTTTAGTCGTAGCTTAAATAATCAGACGATAAGTTTAAAAACAGGATCCATTTATTATTATTCAGGAGAAATAGCAGTTACAAAAATCAGATATCCGGAGTAAATAAAAAGAATTACTAATAACTTTTTGTATGTAGTTTACTGCATCGTTACATTTAAGAAAAAGCCGCGATATACCTTTTGCGAGTCCTTTTATAGCCTCTGGAAAGGCGGAGCTTCCAAGAAATGACGTCAGCCTCGTCAGCCAATCCAGTTCGCTTTAAATATCTCGAGAACATTCTATAACTGTACGTGTAGAAAAAGCAGGAAAAACAACTTGACTACGGGGCTGTGGATTTAATTCCACGTACTTTCAAATAAGAGAACGTCGCCATTAAAAATGAAAAGAACATACAGTTAGAATTTTAATTGTATTCTTGACTATGGAATTTTATTATTACATATATATATATACTTTCGGACTGCCGATTGCAATGAAAAAGGTAACTGCACAACGAGATGTTTTAGCAATCCCATATACAAATTTCCCCGTTCAACGACTAAGCGCTTTAGAGTATGCGAGATAAATACGTATACAAGTAAGGAAAGGGGATTTTTCAGGATGTCTGTGCATACGTAGACGTCACGAAAAAGTCCTTTTAGAATCCTTTTTACAATCCGTTTTGGAAAAATCCGTACATACAGACGTCACGCGAAAAAAAAAAAAAAAAAAAACCCTCAAAATGGATATTTCCACTGAAATATGATACCCGAAAACTTATTTCTTACAAGGAAGTAAAAAGAAACATCAGAAGAATTATTATCTGGATTTGAAAATTATTACGTTCTTAGTATAATATTCGCTCTTAGTTTAATATTAGTTCTTAGTACGTATAATATTCTTAGTATAATATATATACTAAGAAAAAAAAGTTCTTAGTATAATATACGTTTTTAGTATATTAAGAGTTCCATATCTGAAGTGAACACTGTATAACGGCAAG